CACACACACACTGTGAGTTTCAAGCACCCAGGTCCAGGACTTGAACTGTGGTCAGTCATGCAGGAGTCCAGTGACTGCCGCTAGGCCCGATTATTATCATTCTTTTAAAATGTGACCAGAGAGAGAGGGAAAGTGAGAAAGCAAGCTGCTAGGTTGGGAACTCGAATTGCTGTCGGCCATGTGAGAGTCCAGCACCTTAACTCCCACACCACCTGCTGGCCCCAACAGTTTTTAAATAAGTAACATGAGTGCGTGAAATCAGTAGTGCAGTGCTTTAGATGCTGTAACTCCCTGAAGCTGCAGTAACCCACCAGTCTAAGACTACCACCGCTTAAAAAAGGTCAGGGATCGTGAGCCAGCTTCTATAATCGTGGCTTTGGTCAGCTGAAGTTATTTAGGTCCTGGTTTTATTTATTTATTTATTAAGAATTTTAAAAGAAAAAAAATTATTTAACTTTATTTGTTTATTTATTTAAATTTGACCAGAGAGAGAGCGAGAGAGAGGGAGAGAGAGGGAAAGTGAGAAAGCAAGCTGCCAGGTCTGGGACTTGAACCATGGTCAGCCATCTGGGAGTCCAGTGCCCTTAACCACCATACCACCTGCCGGCCCTTACTAAGAATTATTTTATTGAACTTTATTTATGTACTTATTAATTTTAACTTGACCAGAAAAGGTCAGAATGTGAGAAGAGAGAATAACCAGAGACTGTATCTAGTTCATGCTGTTTGGTGGCCAGATGAGAAAAGCTGGGGTCCGGAGAAATGAGGCGAGCTACTGAGGACCTCATCCCTAAGTATCTGTTACTTTGGATGAGTCATGTTACTGCTTTTGCTTGTCAGGGGTCTTTTCAAACAATTTTAGACTAGATAATAAAGCTTCTATCTGTATAGCATCAGCCCCTTGATCTGTGTCATCACACCCACTCCTTTGAAGAACACAGTTTCTTAGAGATGAGTACACCCAGTTTCAGTTTGTGACCTGAATGCAGTTGCACAGCAGGAAGTGGCAGAGCTTGGACTTCTGAACAGAATTTATTATTTTTTTATTTTTTATTTTTAAATTTTATTTATATTTTTATTTTAATTGCCAAAGAAGGTGTGTAGTTGCCAGAGAGAGAGATGGGAGTTGGGGTGGAAGCTCTGTAGTGGGCTGTGGTCATGCTGCAGTGCCTTCTCTTCTGTGAGTCTGTCCTAGCAGGAATTTGGGCACACATGCACTTGCACCTGGAATATTATGCAAGTTGCAGGGACTGGGCTTGAAATTGCCCAAGACCCCGAAGGAGGGCGAAAGGGAGAAGGGGTGCAGCGTGACTGTTCCCGGTGTGGCTGTTCCCCTCACCCCCAGGTCTTGTCTTTCTGGTGAATGCATACCCTCAGGCAATTTAAAAAAAACCTTTGTCCTTTCAAACCCTTTCAAACCCTGTTTTTGTTTTGTTTTAATTTGCTGCCAGGCATAGTATAGAGGTTGGAGGGGGTGACCACACCGCAGTCCCTTCTTTCTCTTTCTGGGGCTTTGGGCAGGTTAACATGGGCCTGGCACGTTTCTCAGGCCTCTGGGCCCAGGACTACATAGCCAGCTGAGTGGATTCATCCACCTTACTCACTTGCCACTGGCTGGCCCACAAACACTTTTATTTTGAGATAGTCACAAAGTCATGCTTTTTTTTTTTTAAGAGAGAGATTTTTGCTAT